ATACTACTTGTGTGTATCTTTTATGATCTTTGACAATCTTCTATAAAATCTATATGGAATGAATTAACTTATATATCTCTAATGAGAACTCAAAGAACAAAGCTTAATTATTGGCATGAAAATTCTGCGCACCGCCTGAGAATTTTAATTGTTAAGTACTAATATATTTGCAGAACAATCAGAACTAAGGGTATATGTGCTTGACAAATGAAAGCTTTGTGCATTATCCAGAAAGTCTGAACACTGAAACCCCAGAGATCTAGTGCCTTTCTTTTTTGGACATGAACAAGGAAGCAAGCTTTGTGCACCTCAATTTTGTTTGACGGAGTACACCACTTCTTATAATAATGTTGGCATGTATGTATTTTAATAGTTTGGATGCATTTGCATTTTAATAGTAGTTCGGTGTTGACAAGTGTATCACTAATTACATATATAGAGAGTGTTTGGTGGAGATTAAAATTAGATTTTTAGTGGATTGTAATAGAAGTTTTTGAAATGTGTGGTTGAAAAGATGTGGGATTCATGAAATATGTGGTTAATATTGATTGTTTGACTTTGACTTAGATTAAAATCAGATTTTAATCCGGCCCAAACAGGCCCTAAGACAAATTATATCCTTTACAGTGGAAAAGTATGCTTTACCTTGTTTTTTATTTCATCATGTATTTTTTTAATTACTCGAAGTTAGATATGTTATTTGTCATGCAGGTGGACAAAGTGAACGACAGTGAAATCCGGAGGGGCTCAAGGAGAGTGTCCCTGACATTACGCAAGGTATGTGCATTCACATCGGCTTTGAATGTTCAGCTTCATTAACTTTTTTGTGCACATAACCTTGTAACAGACATATGATGCATTGTATAATTTATTTACAATTCCTCTCACGCTTATGCTCTTTGGAGAATGCCACTTACGACATACTTGTGTATGTTCTAGCAATGAGAAAAAGAAGAAAATCTCTTGCAAAAATAACAAATGGGTAAAACAAGGTGGGGGAACAATGTAATCTTGCCCTTAGTTCCATGCTTTAATGTGGTTTTCTATACTTACTAATCTGGTGTATACATCCTTTTTAAGGTATTGATGATATGGCTCCCTTTCCTAGTTGTATAAT